AAGGAATAAGCGAGGGACTCCTCTATATGATATAACTAACACATTAAACTCTGACCTTCCCAATCCAACAAAAACTCCAGTTTTGCAAGGCTCTGGTTGTGCTCTTGAACTTCATAACAAAACATATAAACAAAATGCTATTGAAAAATGGAAGGCAAAAAAAAAAAAAGTAACAGTTATGGAAAATACTTTTTTGTATCCAAAACAACCCTTATGTAGTAATATCACTACTAATAACCAATCAGCCGCCGATTGCGTTCTAAGTTTAGAAGTTTAGTGACTCCAGCTATTTTAAATGAATCAAATAGTTCCTCTACCTCATCTTTATATGCACAGAATGTGGTCAGTTTGCATAGGCCCACAGAAAATGTAGCATCTTCTTCCCATAGTACAGGTAAGAATTTTTGTGTAGTTTTAGTCCCCAAAATAAATTCTTTTTTTTTTATTATTATTTTACCTACTAATATATTCAGATAAATTATTTTAGATAGCACTAACAAATTCACCTAACAACATCTACGCTTCTGGTAGGTATCTTCACACTCTTAATCGTAATACTTTGGATAACATCCCAGGTGAGCCTTTTATTTTTCAAAAACCGAAAAATGTTTGTATTGTAGTACAGTCAAATTCCCGTATGAAACAGGTGCATTCTGCTGTTCAAATGGTAAAATTAAATTAGCAAATAACTCCATGGCAAGTGTCTTGAAAGATTTACTTTTCTCCAAAAATGAAGAATCTAAGCTCTTTCGAGATTGTATTAAGACCATCAACAGCCAATTTGCATTTACTTCTTTGGGAGTCAAATGTGATAAAAATTTAACCAAACGCAATAAAGGGATTTACACCTTCAAAATACAAAGGCCAGATGTACCACTTTTTAGATCATTTAGAAGCGTCTCAAAATTTACAGTTATATTTTCACGACACTGAAAATGAAATTGCAAATCGATTAAAAGTCTGCCCTAGGCTAACAGAATCACTGATTGAAAAAATTTTAAGTGTTCTGAGGGAAAATCCATATGCTCAGTTTTTGAGGAGCCTTAATGTTTTAGACAATTTGGATGAATACGAGATCACATTAAAGACTAATCTAAACATTGATCAAAGAGTTTATAATAAGCTAGAAGCCTCTCAAGTAGCCGCAATATGGGTAGAGAACGAAGATAGTTAAGAATCATCTCAAAGAAATATCAAAGTGTATAGTCGTAGTGGTTTCCCACATAGAATACAATATTATTTTGGTTGTTATGATCCATTGCAATATCCATTGCTTTTCCCATTTGGTGAACTTGGTTGGCACCAAGGCATAGAAAAGTTAAGAGGATTAGTTTCAAAAAATGCGATGACATGTCATGCGAAATCAGCTGAAGAATTAATTGAGGCAGTGGATGGTGAGTTAATAAATAAAACACCTATTACTAATTATATTTGCCTGTATACATTGAATTTAGATTATTTATTTTAATAAAATACTTCTGCCATATATAATAACTTCTCATGCATCATGCTTTCTGTTTCCAGCTAACGTTGTAGCAGCAACGGGCCGAAATTTTGTTTCGATGAGAGACTATTATGCATACAAATTACAAATAAGAGAAAATGACGAGTCATGCATACTAAATTTTGGGAGATTATTTCAACAATATATAGTCGATATGTATGTTAAAATTGAATCACAAAGATTAGACTTCTTTAAAAAACAACAAACTGAAAGTAGACAAGAATTCTTGCAAGGCATACAAGACTCTCTAGCAGTAGGAAAAACAAATGCATCAAAAATTGGCCAAAGAGTTTTTTTGCCAGCAACTTTTATAGGAGGACCAAGAAATATGAAAAAGAGATACTTAGATGCAATGACATTAGTACAGAGATTTGGGAAACCTGACATATTTTTAACTATGACATGTAATCCCAATTGGCCTGAAATCAAAGAGCTTGTAAAAGAAACTGAAGAATCACAAAATAGGCCTGATTTGGTTGCTCGAATTTTCCGCGAAAATTTTGAAGAGCTAAAAAAAGATATTCTAAAAAAAATATTTTTAGAGAAGTGGTCGCATATATATACGTAATAGAATTTCAAAAAAGAGGCTTACCCCATGCTCAGATGTTAATTATCCTAGCAAGCCGGGATAAATTGTATAGACCTAAAGAATTTGATAAAATTGTAAGAGCTGAAATACCAGACAGGCACTCGAACCCGCATTTATATAATATGGTCAATAAACATATGATGCATGGACCTCGTGGAGAGTTAAATTTAACTAATTCATGCATGAATGCAAAAAATAAGTGTCGATTAATATCCAAAGGAATTTTCTGAAGTAACTATTCAAGTTAATAATTCATATCCAAAATATCAAAGGAGAGTTAATAATGTCATAATAAAAGTACGAGGTTGTAAATTAGATAATAGATGGGTGGTGCCTTATAACCCATACTTACTTGCAAAGTTTAATTGTCATATAATTATTGAAATTTGTTCTTCTATATGAGCTGTTAAATATATTTATAAGTATATTTGTAAAGGCCATGAGAAAATTAAATTTCATATAAATACATCCAATCAAAATGTGAAGATTGATGAAATAGAACAATTTAGAACAGCACGTTGGGTCTCTCCGCCTGAAGCTGCATGGAGGATATATAGATTCCCAATTAGCAAGACAAAACCTGCTCTTATTAATTTACCAGTGCATTTGGAACATTATCAAGCAATCAATTAAAAAAAACAAGAAAGATTGGATAGAATTGTAAATAATCCGAGAAATCATAGAACTATGCTGACATAATTTTTTTCATGAATAGAACAGACCCACATGCAAAAAAAAATAAATTTGACTTACATAGAATTCCCAAAACATTTTGTGTGGCGAATAGAAGAGAAAAAATGGAAAAAAAACGAGGCGGAAAGGATTCAATAGCTAGAATTGTTACTGTGCACCCAAATGAAGGCGAAAGGTACTACCTAAAGCTTCTTCTTCTGGACATTAGAGCCCCAAAAGCTACAAAGATATTAGGACAATTAATAGCACCGTTTCTAAATCATATCGTGAAGCTGCTCTTGCAAGAGGCTTACTCCAAGACGATAACACCCAAGACTTTGCTTAGAAGAAGCGTCACTTTTAAAAATGCCATATGAAATGAGACGCCTTTTTGCGACCTTACTTGTTTATTCGTGTCCTAATAATCCAGCCGATTTATTTCAAAAGTTCGAAGATGCCATGTCCGAGGATTTCACAAGGCATTCAAATTTAAATAAAATAGGTATTAGAAAAGGTCTTAAACCAAATAAATGGTTTTCTAGAATCAATGGGAAAAAATATCCATACATACAACATAGTGCCTCCTGATATACCTATTGACATTGGGGAAAACAATAGAGAAATAACAGTAGAGAAAAATATTTTGGTTACCCAAGAAGACTTAAATGCTATACACTTACTTAATGAAGACCAAAAAAAGGTTTTTACCATAATACAACAACGCGTCTATAGTGGAAAACCAGGTGCTTTTTTTTTATTGATGGCCCTGGAGGAACAGGAAATACTTTCCTTTATAGAGCTTTACTGGCTGAGCTTATATCTAAAGGATATATAGCTTTAGTAACTGCGACTTCCGGTATTGCCGCTTCAATATTACCCAGTGGAAGAACAGCTCATTCAAGGTTTAAAATACCTATTGATCTGACAAAGGGAAAAAATTGTAAGATTAGTAAACAAAGTAATTTGGCAAACTTAATACGTGAATGTAAACTAATAGTGTGGGATGGGGCACCGATGGCTAAGAGATCATCAATAGAATCACTTTATGACTTATTAAAAGACCTAACAGATTCAAATGAACCTTTTGGTAGTAAAGTTATTGTTTTTGGTGGTGATTTTAGACAAATTTTACCTGTAGTTCGAAAAGGTAACAAAAAGGATACAATAAATGCGTGCATCACGAATTCTTATATTTAGCCTTTGCTTGAGAAAATTGAACTAAAACAAAATATGCGAGCACGACATGATCCCTCCTTTCCTTAATACTTATTAAGAATAGGGAACGGTGTAGAGCCAACACATGAAAACAATACAATTCAGTTACCTGCTTCACTTGTAATAAAAAACACAGATACTGATGCTGCCTTGCAAGAATTAATAACTTTAATATATGGTGAATTCTGCTGTACATCAGTACAAAAACCTGTTGATATTGAACAAAAACAAACTGACCAGCATAATTTCCCAATGAATAGGGCAATATTGGCTACAAAAAATAATTTTGTAGATGAGATAAATAACAAATTGATTATGGATTTCCCTGGACAGTTAGTTGAATACCTTAGTTTCGATGAAGTAATCAACCCCATTCATAAAGGCCTCTATGAAGACATTATCAATTTTTTAACACCTGGTGGCATGCCTTCACATAAGCTTCAGTTAAAAGTAAATGCTCCTATCATACTACTCAGAAATTTAGATCCAAAAGAAGGATTATGCAAATGGAACCCGACTGATTTGTAAAAGATTGGGCCGAAACATTATTCATGCAGAAATCGTTGTAGAAGACTTCAAAGGGAAGAATGTTTTCATACATAGAATTCCATTAAAACCTTGAAGTGATGACCAACTTCCTGTGCCTTACAAAAGTATTCAATTCCCAGTGTGATTATGTTTTGCTATGACAATTAATAAAGCCCAAGGGCAAACATTAGATTCAGTTGGTGTTTATTTAAAAGAGCCAGTCCTTTCACACGGTCAACTTTATGTGGCACTGTCACGCGCAAAACTATCATCAGCAATTAAATTTGTAATTAGGCCACATTTTTTTTGATTCACAGAACAATTTTGATACAAAAAATATAGTTTACAACGAAGTACTCGAAGCAACTGCGGCACAACAATGTAATTAAAATTTACATTATTATGAAAAAAAAATGTACTGTGTGGTTTGCTATAGGTTACCTTACATAAAGTCTACTATTTTTCCAATTTTCAATTCTCTATTATCAATAAATGCTGGTAGCGATGTCGAGGACCTATCTGTCCATTAGCCAAATTACTGATGAGTCGAGAAACTGGACTGCGCTTATTCAAGTCGTTGAGAGGGCACCTATTCAAACAAGCAAAATTGATTCACAAGTGCTCTATCGAAGATACTTATTCATGGATGGAGAGGTCTGTAAATGACTTGTGCTTTTGTCTATTAGTTGACTTAAATAACAAATGTGGACTATATCTATGACATATTCATTATTCTGGCATAACAGGGTACCAGAGTAGCTGCTGTAGTGTACAAACCAGCCATGGAGGAGTTCGATGGTATGCTGCTTCTGCACAAGCGATACTACCTTACTGGAGCAAAAGTACGGCCAGAAACCCTGCTGTACTAAGTAGGCCCTTATGAGTTCAATTGGCTCATGCAAAAAAAAACTTTGGTTGAAGAATTCCAGGAAGAAGTGCCCCCTCAGCTGCCATGCCAAATCGAAGTTCATCCGTTTGTGGACTTGCACAAATACGCGGATACAGAGAACCCTAGAAGTGAGTTCATTTAGCTAAAATTTTAAATATTACTTTGCTTAAAATTTCTGCGTGCTTTTCTTAAACAACAAACCAACTGACACTGTTGAATTTAAAATTTACTAGACCTCTTGGTGTTGTCGTGCATGCTTTTCGGGTAAAGAGTCTGGGCCAAAGAAACACAGCCCGAGAGTTGATCATTGTTAATGAAGAGTAAGAGTTTTATCCTACCTCATAATTTATTCCCAATATATTACTTATACTTATAATTGTCTGTTTATCAGGGAAAAGCCTGTCCTTTTGACTCTCTGGAATCAGTTTGAAACAGAAGATGATGTTGGCCAACACTTAGCCAATACAGTAACAGCTGGGAACATCATTTTATCCATGAGAACAAGGGTTACGACATTTAATGGTATCATACACCGCAATTTCAGTTTTCTACATTACAATTGATTCTTTACACATGTCTGACTAACACAATTACCTTATAAAGGGCTATCGTTATCAACTAAGACTGGAACTTGCTTGATGATAAATCCACCAATATTAGCTGCTGACAGATTGAAGCAATGGTACGTATTAAACAATTTCCAATATAATAATTGTAATATTACACCACACCTTTTGGTTATTTCTCACATTGTAATACCCATTTATTTGTGGATTATTTAAGAATATTATTATTATTTTTATTGTTATTATTGTTGTAATTATTATTTTTGTGATAATACTTATATTTAAATTTTTTTCTTGAGTGCCATAATATTATTGATTTGCTAAAATGTGATTAAATGCTTAATGTCTAATTGTCTAATTGATTTTCGTGATTTACTAAATTATTAAATGTGAATAATGTGTATTAATATATATATGTAAAATATATATTGTTCGGTTTATTTTTATCGCGCGTTTGAATTCGTAATCGAGCCCGACGATATTCGTGTGAACCGAAATCGAGCCCGTGAGCCGATTTATTTTTGCAAACCGAAACCCGCGAGCCCGTGAAATCTGGCCCAAACCGAGTGTGTTGTGTCTTGAGCTTCAAGTCTTTAACCCTAAGTCTCCCTTAATCTCGCGCAAAATCAGATTAGAAAGGGAACCCGCAGCCTTTGTTTTTCTTATCTGTTAAACCCTTGCTCACCCCCGATCAAATCTGTCGCCCTCATCACTCATCTTTTTCTTTCGCTCGGAAAGAGACATCCCATCATAAATCGATCGCGAGTGATCATCAGAGAAGAGAAATATACTCATTTACCTCTCTCGCTTTTCACCGCAGTGATCATCATCCCTAATCCTCTCTTCATCGCCATCATCCTCCGCTCACCTGCAACTTCCGGTGCCTCCTACCACCACGAACAGCCGCGAACCAGTGAACCCTGACCGACGAACCCTTCCCCCGATCACGAATCTCTGCTCCTCCGTCATCATCACGTCGAGAACCCTCCATCTCCGACTGCCATCAGATCGCCATGAACCAGGGCTCTAGCCGCGAGCAGCATCCTTCCCGGCGAGCAGCAGGTCCTGTCAATCTTCCTTAGCCGGCGACTTCAGAGAGGGTCGACCATAGCCGGTTAAACCTATAACAGCATAAGACCTTTGTCCGTTGGTGTTCGAGCAGGGCAGCGAGCGTGAATATTTGCAAGAAAGAAGAAGAAGTAAAGGCCAAGTTCGCGAGCAGCACCCCGTCGAGCCCATTCAAGCCATTTTTCCCCTCCCGTTAACCCTCGTTCGTCTAGTTTTTCGATCGAGTCTCGAGAACGGTACAAGGCTTGACCCGTCTTGTTTAATTCTATGTAATATTTTTTATGTGTGCGATTATGTGAGACGGGTGTTGAACGTGCTGTGTAATTGTGAATATGATTTTATGTGATTACGTTTGAATATTAATGTCGTATTATACGTGATCTTGGTCGATTCGTGCGAATCGAACTAGAACACGTTAAAAGTATTAAGTTGCTGTAGATTTAGGAACTTACGATTATTTCGAACACAATGGCGCTGACCTTGTGTCGATCGGACTTGTAGATTGATAGTTATGATTTTTCGAAGGTTATAATCGCAGTTTAGAATGAAAAATTCATTATAAATCGAATACTGGTCCCATTTACTTGAAATTTTAGGATCAATTGTTGTTTTTAAATATGTAGCTTCTGTAAAAGTTTCATGATTTTTAAAGGTGTTTAGCTATTTTTAAAAATTAATGTTATTTATGTTCAGTTTCTTGAAAAATGCATAATTAATTTTGGGGTGCTCTTTTCTGGCTAATTTTCGAATATGTTGTGTCCCAGGCATGATTATATGTTTTATAAAATTTTTAGAATTTTTGAACTGGGTGTGATAGAGTTAATGATTTATTTGGTATTTCTGCCCAATTTTGTTTTAATTGTTATAAATTGTGCTGAAGCTGAAAAATTCTGAACATTTGTGGAGGTGCTTATTATGTAATGTTTAGCATGCTGTAAAAAGTTTGTAAGTTTTGGAGTTCATTTGAGGTCAGCTCTGTTGTAAGTGCGATATTTAGCTGAATGTGGTTTTAATTTTATAAAATAACTTGCTGAGTGTTAAAGCCTGGTATTTTTATATGTTGCTGTTAATGTGCTGTAATGTTTTAGGTAAAAATTTCGTGGCCTGAATCATTCATTATCATGTGCTTTTAATTTAAACTTGTTTTTGTTGAAAAAATTGTCTGAATTTTATAAAATCATGTACAATGAGTTGGAAGCTGAAACTTGGCCATTTTTCTTAAAACTAGGAGGTGAATTTTGTGTAAAATTTTCAGAGCCTGACTCATAAGTTTGATATGCCTTCAAGTTCAAGTGGGAATTTGAGAAATTGTTTTGCTAAACTGGAAGTTGTTAAGTGTTGTTGACTAAATGTGCTACGTGTTTATTTGTGAGCTGTTTGATTGGCATTCATTGGTGATTATGTGAAATTGAATGTGGGGTTTGATCGAGTCTGAGTCCTTGTGTTCCCATATCCACAGAACTTCACGAACCACTTGGTCGAACCGAGTTCGGCTAAGTCAACTTGTGCATTTGCTACATAGGTCTAGATTAAAGTGTTGACTTTAGTATCTGGACTTAATGTAGGTGTCGAGAGATGTTGAACCTCGCCTCGTCTCGAGATTTGTGATTTGAACTGTAGCTGCTATCAGGTGGGTACATTTATGATGTATTCCATATTTATCGCACTTAATGTTTCCTAAAAATGCTTTGTTTTGAAAAATGATGTATGCGTGAGAACCCTAGTCTAAGTGTCCCGTATGTTAGTGCTTTTGAGTATGCATAAACAGTGAGAGGTCATCGGCCCGTAGATTTGGAGAGGTGACGCCCAGGTCCGTATGATATTCGTGAATGGGAAAAACATCTCTACTGTATCCTGGAAAGGATCCCAGGCCCGTAGCCATTCGGTGATGGGAAGGTTTCCAGTTACTTCCTTGCCGTGTGTGATCGGAAGGTTGTTGTATGTACATAGGAGGTTTGCGATAGGGCCAAGTAGGGAGTTAGACTGTTGGATTCTATGCATACTGAATACTATGGTTATGATGGTTTAAAATGTTATGCGAGATATACTGTGCGATAATGGTGAGCTTGTTGGTTATGCTCACCCCCATTATTTTCTTTGTTGTCTTTTCTCTTTCTTTGTTCTAAGTTGAGACGAGCTGGAGGCGGTGGCGTAGGACGAGCGAGATGGTGATCATTATGTGTTGAAACCTATGCTTCCGCTTGAACTTAATACTTATTTTTTTTGCTATTATGCTTTGAATTATTTACTGCTTCCACTTTTCGAACTAAGTTTAGTATGTTGAACCATGATCATCCTAGTCCTTTGGAAATGAATTTGAGACGTATGTTCTGTGGGATTGTTATTTGATAACTCGAGCATGCGTTGGTTCTTAGATTGTTGGTCGTGTTTAATTGTTGTGGTTAATAAGTAGCGCCTGATACTCGATAAATGTTTTAACTTGGATTAAAAAAAAAAATAACTTTGATTTTTTTTAAATCAATGCGGTAAATTCTTTAAAATAAAACGGGGCGTTACAGTTTGGTATCAGAGCCAGTCTTGCTTTTCTGTAGACTGGTTCATATGTGATTGAGTTTTTAATGACCATTGACCACTCGCTTCGTCTCGCCGCGCCAGCTCAAGGTATGAGTTTTATTTTTTGATTTATTGTCGATATCGTGATTATGTTTTGTTCTTTTATTCGGTCTTAGGAATTTACCCTCCGTTTATTCGGACTTGAACTCTAGTGGTGTAGAGTTAAATGCCGACTTTAGAGATTTTTTTGTTGTGAGTTTTTAGATGTTTGTTGTGAGTTTTCGGGTTGGTGTTATCAAGTTAAGTCTGGTCTATAGCAGTGCACTCGTTATGAGTTCTGTTTAGTGCCATCGAATGAGATTCATTCATAAGCCATCTCGAAAGAGAAGGCTTAAGTAAAGGGAACAGACAACCGAAGGAGTCCCACAGTTATTCGGAAGTCTTTGACTATTGTGGATAGAACTATTATTCGAGTGTTGAACCCGGTCAATGGGAACCGGGAGTGGAGCCTATCCACCATTGAATGGTTTCGAACTCTAGTGTTTCATGGCGAACTCTAGACTTCCTTATTTAGTTTTAAATTTTGTTTTGGGTGTTAAACTTTTTCGGCTTGTTCAATGTAGAACCATGGCCACTCGTAATCGCGATGCTCGCAACCATCAACAAACCCCACCTCACCAGCAGGCCCCTCCGGCCATGGATCTTCCCCGACTCATTGTCCAGTTTCAGGGCATGCATGCGCCCACTTTCTCGGGGAGTGAGGCCCCCACTGCTGTGCTTGAGTGGATGAAGGAGCTTGATAAGATCTTCGCTGTGCTCCCTCTTCCCGATAGACAGCGAGTAGCCCTCGCCCCCTTCCAGATGAAGGCAGATGCTTCCGACTGGTGGGTCGACCACTGGGCTCGGAGGCCAGAGGCTGAGCTCAATGCCCTCACCTGGGAGCAAATGAAGGCAATGGTTCGTAGCAAGTTCCTTCCCCAGAGTTTTTGGGATC